CGCAGGGTTGACTATGGTACAAGAGGTGGGGAAAAAATTAAGGCATTCTGCAGAGATCAACGGACTAAATAGAATTTGCAATGAAGAGTATTCTCTATTTTATTCATAAATGGTGTCCTACACAATAATTTATGCCTACAAAATTTATAATAGACACACAATTTCATTCCCTTCCATAGTCAACCCTGCGTGCAAGTGACAAACAAGTGATGTAGATTTATTTTCCTTTTAAAGACTAAGATAAGTCCTAGCCTGTTTGGCTCAGTGGATAGAGCGTCAGTTTGTAGACTGAAGGGTCCCAGGTTCGATTCTGGTCAAGGGCACATGCCCGGGTTGGGGGCTCGATCCCAGGTAGGGAGTGTGCAGGAGGCAGCCAATCAATGATTTTCTATCATCATTGATGTTTCTAGCCTTCTTTTCCTCTCCCTTCCTCTCTGAAATCAATAATAAAAAAAAAAGACTAAGATAGAATGGACCAAAGATGTATGTCCACACTTCACTTGCTTGTGAAAACATGAGCAACTTCTTTACAAAAGAAGATAATGGGTTGAAAACACAGCACCAGCATGCTGTTCCTCTCTCCAGACCTAGTCAGTTCTCCCTGCCCCATAATTTTGTCACCATGCACAACCCATTACTCCTAGTCCCCATTCATGGATACTTCCTTTGGATCCCTAGGACGGCCCTTGTGACCAAGCATCTAAAACCTTAACCCTTGGTGCATCCCTAAAATTCGTGGGGAAAGGTTGTCCCCAGAATTCTTGGTCCAGGGACCACAGTCAAATCTGATTGGTCAGCGTCTGGCTACACTGGTTGTTGCCTATTGAATAACACCCTTGGCACCAGGTGATGCCTTCCCTTGGCACAGCTGATTGGGTGGACTCATGACGCAAGCTGGGCCAGTTTCCACAGAGTGGGCGGGCTTGACCTCACAGGCAGTGTTATTCAGGAAATCGCACCTCTACAGGAGAGAGAAGCATGAAAGGGCCCATCTGCAGAGAGAGAGAGAGAGGAGAGGAGGATGCACAGGAATTCACAAGTGAGACCACAGAACCCTGGAGAGACAGAGGAGGGACTTAGGTTTTCTACTTGCCCCTTCTTGGTGACATGGGAAGCCCTATGCCTATTGGAAAACCCTATGACAGGGTGGGACAAAAGTAGGTTTACAGTTGTGAGTACACAAAACACAGGCTTTATTCTTATATTATTATTGTATTATTTTTCCATATAAATGATTGTCAACCTACTTTTGCCCCACCCTGCGGTTTCTGAGGGCCACAAACTGGGTGGCTTAAAACAACAGACATGTATTGTCCCCCAGTTCTGGAGACCAGAAATCCAAAATCAAGGTGCCAGTAGGGCCATACTTCCTCCAAAGGCTTTAAGGAAGACTCCTTACCTGCCTCTTCCAGCTCCCAGTAGTTGCCCACAATCCTCGGTATTCCTTGCTTCATAGCTGCATTACTCCAATCTCTGCCTCTCTCTTCAGTGGCCTTCTTCATTCTGTGTGTCTCTGTCTTCGTTTCTCTTCTCTTCCTGAAAGGACAAGTCATATTGAATGTAGGGCCCACACTCATCTAGTACGACCTCATCTTAATGTAATTACAGCTCAGTGGTTGAGAGTCAACCTATGAACCAGGAGGTCAGGGTTCGATTCCAGGTCGGGGCACATGCCCGGGTTGTGGGCTTGATCCCCAGTGGGGGGCGTGCAGGAGGCAGCTGATCAGTGGTTCTCTCTCATCATTGATGTTTCTATCTCTCCTTCTCCCTTCCTCTCTGAAATCAATAAAAAAACATTTAAAACAATTTAATTACATCTGCAAAGATTCTATTTTCAAAAAGGGTCATAATCTGAGCTTCCATGGAGGATATGATCTTGGGGGGACACTTCAACCTAGTACATCTAGTATCTCCCCTTGGGGGCAGTGAGAAACTTCAGTATCCTATGATTTTCCTTCTGGGGAGGGTTGTGTTCTGTGCTGCCAAATGACCTTTAAGATAGTGGTCCCCAAGGATGCAGGTCCTCAAGGCCGTTGGTGTCTTTCCTCGTGGCTTTGGGATCTGAGAGACTATTGTCTGGGTTATGTTAGTCTGAGGGCATCCCACAGTGCTTGGGTCCCAAGTGTCTGTGGGATGTTATCAAGACTCAAGGAATGCAGATGGAATTCTACAGTAGTAACAATAACCAAGTTGAAATTTATTACTGCTTACTGGGCCAAGAAACTAATTGCTCTGCAAGGACTCCATCAGGAGGGTACTATCCTATTTTTTAAAAAATTCTTTATTGTTGAAAGTATTACATATGTCTCCTTTTTCCTCCACTGACCTCTCCCCACCCACTCCCGCCCCCAAGCACATGCCCCCTCCCCATTGTCTGTGTCCCTTAGTTATGCTCATATGCATGGATACAAGTCCTTTGGTTGATCTCTTAACCCCCCCAACCCCCGCCTTCCCTCTGAGGTTTTTTTTTTTTTTTAATTAAATCTTTATTGTTCAGATTATTACATTGGTTCCTCTTTTTTCCCCACCATGACTCCCCTCCACCCAGTTCCCACCCCACCCTCTGCCCTCACTCCCCACCCACTGTCCTCATCCATAGGTGCACGATTATTGTCCAATCTCTTCCCGCACCCCCCACACCCCTTTCCCCCCAAGAATAGTCAGTCCATTCCCTTTCTATGTCCCTGATTCTATTATAATCACCAGTTCATACTGTTCATCAGATTATTTATTCACTTGATTTTTAGATTCACTTGTTGATAGATGTGTATTTATTGTTCATAATTTGTATCTTTACCTTTTTCTTCTTCTTCCTCTTCTTAAAGGATACCTTTCAGCATTTCATATAATACTGGTTTGGTGGTGATGAACTCCTTTAGCTTTTTCTTATCAGAGAAGCTCTTTATCTGACCTTCACTTCTGAATGATAGCTTTGCTGGGTAAAGTAATCTTGGTTGTAGGTTCTTGGTATTCATCACTTTGAATATTTCTTGCCACTCCCTTCTGGCCTGCAAAGTTTCTGTTGAGAAATCAGCTGACAGTCATATGGGTACTCCCTTGTAGGTAACTGACTTTCTTTCTCTTGCTGCTTTTAGGATACTCTCTTTGTCTTTTGCTCTTGGCATTTTAATTATGATGTGTCTTGGTGTGGTCCTCTTTGGATTCCTTTTGTTTGGGGTTCTCTACGCTTCCTGGACTTGGAAGTCTATTTCTTTCACCAGGTAGGGGAAGTTTTCTGTCATTATTTCTTCAAATAGGTTTTCAATATCTTGCTGTCTCTCATCTTCTGGCACTCCTATTATTCTGATGTTGGTATGCTTGAAGCTGTCCCAGAGGCTCCTTACACTATCTTCATATTTTTGGATTCTTTTTTCATTTTGCTTTTCCAGTTGGGTGTTTTTTGCTTCTTCATATTTCAAATCTTTGACTTGATTCTTGCGATCCTCTGGTCTGCTGTTGGGAGTCTGTATAATATTCTTTATTTCAGTCAGTGTATGCTTAATTTCTAGTTGGTCCTTTATCACAACATCGAGGGTCTCATTAGATTTCTTGAGGGTCTCATTAAGTTTATCGGCAGTTTCTAGAAAATTCTTGCAAAACCTAAAAAGTGTGGTTTTGAACTCTATATCCAGTAGTTTGCTTTCCTCCATGTCTGTCATTTGTGTCCTGCTTCTTTGTCTCGGCATTTTTTATGCTTCGCTGTGTCGATAGAGTGGCTTTCTGTGCTAAGTGTCCCAATTACCTGAGGTAGACACTCTTGGTGCACCCCCTTGTGGGCTTTGTGCAAAGCAGGAGCTACAGAGAGACCTGCAGATTCCTCTTCTTTGTTTGGGGTTTGGAGGTGCCCAGATGAGGCCCACCTTTGAAGCAATG